TACCATATTAACATAGTTTAATCATAATAAATAGTTGTTTAAAAACAGGAATGTCTAAATTGGGAAAACTGTGCCAACGAGCCCCGGTCTCCCCTAATTCATAGAAATCTTATTAATCATAGCCAACATAAAAATTCTTTTTGAGAATTGAAAATCCTAATAACATACTTAATTTTGATTGCAATGAAACTTTTCCATTATGTCATTGTTATTAGTTATAATATATAAAAGAATAGATCTTTTTTTGTAACTTTAATTGCAAATTTTTCAAAATTATGATTTAATGAAGCGCAATTTGGCTAACGGTATTTTTTTATAGACTTTAGTCTTTTTTTATAGATTTTAGTTTATAAAAAACACTTATTCTAATTAAAGTACTTGACATAAATTGTTTGTATTGGCAAAATTGATTGTAATAAAACTTTATCAAATAGAATTATTTCCAGTCACGTATGATAACTATTACAATATGTATAAGTTATCTTTCCGAGTCTTTTTGTCTCTTGTCAGAAGCGTGCAGGTCCCTCATCGTATTTCTGTGATGCGTGCCCTATTTACAATTTACAGATGTATTGGACCTACAGCTTTAACGCCGGACGATCTAATTTTGAGGGATTTTCATAGCAGATATATTCTCGGTAGCTTGCTGCTGTCTTCGGAGAGGATCAAATAAAAATCCGCTGTTTCTAGTCGAAAACTCTGATCTTTGGCGAAAGCAGATGCACAACTCTCTGCGCTACAATCGCTACATATATAGATTACAATGTATTATAAATTATGATATAATAAAGTACGTAAAAATAGATCTTTTTGCAACTTTAATTGCAAATTTTTCAAAATTGTGATGTGATAAAACAATTTGGCCATGGCATTGTTTTTTGTGATTAAAAATCTATAAGCAACACTTACTCAAATTAAAATTACTTAACAAAGAAATTTTTTTCATAGCAGTGTAATTAATGAAAGACTACAAATAATCGTTCGGCTTATTAAATATAGTGTTTTATTTAATATCGACAATATTTTCGAAGCAAGATCATTCGCGAACAAATTTACGTATACGACGATCGTATTTCTGATTCGTGCCTATTTCGAATCCCCTTTCGTTTTATTCTGTTTAAAAGAGCTGCATTATAAGTCGTATCTATCCAAGTGTGTGATCGAAATCAGTGATGGATCTCCCTTAGGATCGAAAGACGACAGTAAAACGACGAAAGCGATCGAGTGCGAATGGAAGAACGAATAAGGAAAAGGAATACGGCAAAAAGAAAAAGCATCATTTATGCAAATGTTACATCAACCATGGCTGATTGAAATAGTTTATTTCAATTTCTTTTGATTGAATTAAATTCATATTAGATTAAACATAATTATATCGTAAGGATGATCACAATTAAAAATAATAAATATAACATTCCTCAATGAAAGTGCATTTATATTACATATTTAACGAAGAAGTTGAGTGCAAATTTAGACTTTAATCTCAACAAAATTTGGAAACTTTTATTTTTCAATTCAAAAAGAAAAATGTAAAATAAATGAGATAGCAAATACATTATTTTCCGTTCCGGGCTGTATTTTTGATTAGATAAACATATTATATATAGTACGTATTATATGTTATTATATATTGGCATAATAACGTCAATTTTTAAAGACTTTTAATTATGATTATAGGTCGTAATGGTCGTATAATGAGGTTTTTAAAAGCATTTTTGTGTTTTTTGCGTCGAAAAAAAGGTATAAATGACAAGCATTTGTTCGTCGGACTCGCATTTTCAATAGGAATATATATTTACCGGTATAAGTCAGTATAGTTATAAAATTCTAGCTCCAAAAATTTAAAACAAGTTACTTTCACGCAATCTATATATGTGTTCTTAAAGTAATTGTTGTCAAGTTAAAAAGCAAAATCAATTTGTTACAAAAATCAAAGTAGAACATTGGGACATCGGAAAACCTACTCGTACTTCATTTTATTACTTTATAAAACCTACTGTTTTATTAACAATAATTAATGAAACAGAAAGATCAAACGTTCTTTTTTCAAAAATCTGTTAATCAGTTGTAAAGTGAAGTGAAGTTGTGTGATTTCGGCAGCATCTTATACCAAAGTATCATCATTACATTCTATTAACAGAGTTGTTGTTTATAGTACATGTCGTAAACTTGTGAGATTCCAGCAGCCTCTAATATCTTCAATGACCGATATATATCGAAGATAAACAACAACTCTGTAATAGAATGTGTAGGTTTTTCAATAAATATTTCCTTAAAGAAACATCACTGCAATATTTTCCTTAGGATTTGGATTCCAATTCCCAAGATAAATTCGAATCCTGGTGCAGAATCCCGATTTGTACTCTAAGCAGCATACATTACTTTTTTAGATATATTTAATACCATAAGTATTAAATTATTTTAATAAGTTAATGATTAATTACTTATTTTGAATATTAAAAGCACTGCACCTGTTAAGGCCTTTAATAAATGAAATAAGTAATTAATCACTAACCAACTTAATACTTGCAGTGTTAAATTTTTCTAGGAGTTGTCACCCGTTACGATAAAAAATGAGGCATTTTTTGTTTGCTCTCCTAATTCTGTCGATAGCGAGTGTGAACTATGGAAATGTTAGAGTGAACTATATACATGAGTGGAAGTACGTTGACTATAACTGGGAAAATCAAAAGCAGATGGAAGATGCAAAAAAATCTGGAATTTACGACCCTTATAAGTGCGTGATATTTGATGGAACTAGAGCAAAAGGTAAGTTGAGAAGTTAACTATTCAAAAAAGTTGTAATATTTTTGTACAGAAATATGAATACTTTTATCATTCGATAACAGGTTATAGTTATAGTATTTAACTGCTACATAATCATATTACGTATCTATAGGTTTTATATGTATACTTCGTATGTTGTTAATGCAACGGATGACATTGCTATTGCCATAAAATTCGCGAAATAAATACATCTTTTGGTAGCACGTACGTAAGTTCCGTTCACAGACAAAATTCTTTTATAGATGGTAGAATATTTGTTACTGTGCCGAGAGTCTATGGCCTTGTTTCACCTGCTACTGTGGCAACAGTAACTAATAAAACAGGACCAGGAGGTCTACTTTTACGTCCGTATCCAGATTGGAGTTGGCATAATAGTACATGTACGTGCAATGGTATTATAAATGTTTACCGAGTGCAAGTAAGTATTAATACTTTTCACCCAAGCAGTTGTCACATTTTACATTTATATATTATTATTTTAATGACCAACAATTTATTATATTGTATTATGCACTATGTACAGGAACTGTACTTATGTACAGGATATCTCATAATAGTATCATCGTTTATGGGTAAATATTTGTTTTATGTAAAGTGATAAGTGTACTTTGAGACCATTGTCAAGAAAATATTCTTTGTAAAAATAATTATTTATTTAAAAGAAGAAAATTAAAATTGAGTAATTGGTTTTCTTAGCACATGAAAATTATTTTTCTGCATATACGTGAATAGCAATACCCAGACGTATGCAATCACGATACACACGGAAAGAATAATTTTGCTGGAAGGTCTAAATATATTACTGGATACAGATCTGAAAATAATTTCGTTGAACCATCAAAATAATTTTGTTGAAAATTCAAATTCGTTGATAAAATATCAAAACATTTTACAGCAATGCTTATCATTTTTAAATTTTCAATAAAGTTATTTTGATAACAAAATTATATCCATTTTATCTAGCAAAATCATTTTTCTATGGGTATCGCGATTGTATTCATGTTAAAATATTCATTTATCACTTTACTTAAATCAAATATTTACTTAACATTTTTTCTGTTTGTACATATATACATATTCCAATTCTATACCATCACTTATTTAAATTAAATGAATAAGCCTTATTTCAAATATTTTATTCGTTTACATATTCGTAAAAACTTGCAAAGTTTCAAATAAGTTCATCACAAGCATTACATTTATTTAAAATATAGTATTCTGAATTCTAGTTATTTCATTTTTTAATTAAGAATAAAATTAAAACAAATTCGATTAGCTTATTATTTTGACTTTTCTGTGATAAAATTTTATAACGTTCTTTGAAGAAGTATAAATTCGTTTTTTTGAGTACTCATGATAACTTTGCTAAAATGTGTGATAAGTACATTTCAAATCCATTATCAAGAAAGTATTATTTGTTAAATATAATTGTTGAATTTATTAAAAGAAAAAAAGTAAATTGTGTAATCGCTTACATTTGACGATAGGCCGCAGGCTAATACGGTAATTTTAAATTATTAATTATCTATTAACTTGCGAAGTTTGCAAAATGGACTTTTCGATTCAGTTTAGTCTGCTCTACCTATCCATAAAAGGTGATACACCTATTATAAGACACCCTGTATAGTCAGCTTGATGACAATACGTAAAATGGAATTTTTACTTACACCTCAGACTAAATGCAATCACATCTTCGTTCTGGATAGCGGTAAAATTGGTTCAAATCAAACTTGTAATCCAAAATTATTGATTTTCGATTTAAAAGATGATAAGTTAGTTGAAACTATTTACATCCCACTTAGTATCGCTACTAACCAAACGGGCTTTGGAACATTGGTAATGCCTTATGTTTATGTTGAAAATGGAAACTGCACGCAGTTTCTGGATAAAATGATTGTAAGTATATCCTCTCTTTTGTGGTACTTTTAGTAGTACAGTAGTACAAATTTGTCTGTGCAAATATTATTTAGTTACACATTTATTTAAGGATATATTTCGTATTTTACATGTTTAAGTAACTCTATATATACAAGTATATATATACATTGATTATTGTAGATAATTATGACCGACATGGAAGGTAATGGTTTAGTGGTGTATGACTTATCTACAAAGCGTATGTGCAGAGTCGAATCTGATTACATGAAACCGACTGATACTTTGGTTACCATAGGAAACGTAACTTTTCCTTTTGCGAACGGTCCCTTCAGTGTGACAGTCCTTAATGAGGGCAAGTATCGTTTTTTATTGTAACAATATTATTTCAATCAGAGTTTGGAAATAACGCGTTACTTATAATTCCGTTACCGTTTTCGTTATTTTTTTCTATCTGCAACGGTAACGGTAACGTCATCACATTTTTATAATAACGGTAACGAATTTGTCGTCACTTTTTGATCTATGTGAACCTGGCACCCGACTTTAAGAAAAAAATTTTTTCAAGTGGGCATTAAATTCAGCTCGGTTTGTACTCGTTTGTACCACCTTCCTTTTCGTTTGTACCTCAAGAGGTTGAAAATTAGAAAGGGTTGAAAAAAAAGTTAGCACTCCACTTTGAGATTTTTCAAATCCGCAAGCGGGTGCTATTTCGGGACCGTTTGTACCACCATCCGTTTTGTTTGTACCCTGAAGGGAGTGATTGTACCAAATTTTCAAAATAAGGGTAAAAGCTAACTACGCCATTTTTTAAGATATTTTAAATCCGCAAGCGGATGCTATTTCGGGACCGTTTGTACCCGTTTGCACCATCCTCCGTTTCGTTTGTAACCTTAAAATCTTGAAAAATGGCAAAATTAACTCTTACCCCTATTTTGAAAATTCGGTACAATCACCCCCTTAAGGGTACAAACGAAACGGAGGGTGGTACAAACGAGTACAAACGGTCCCGAAGTAGCACCCGCTTGCGGATTTAAATTATCTTAAAAAATGGCGAAGTTAGCTCTTACCCCCATTTTGAAAATTCGGTACAATCACCCCCTTAAGGGTACAAACAAAATGGAAGATGGTACAAACGGGTACAAACAATCCCAAAACAGCACCCGCTTGCGGATTTGAAAAATCTCAAAATGGGGTGCTAACATTTTTTTCAACTCTTTTTAATTTTCAACCCTCCCCCCCCTTGAGGTACAAACGAAAAGGAAGGTGGTACAAACGGGTACAAACCGAGCTGAATTTAATGCAATGAACAATAACATGAAAAAATTTTTTTCTTAAAGTCGGCTGCCAGGTTCACATAGGTCACTTTTTGTCCTTTTATTTTCTTATTTTATGATATATTTTCAATTTATTTTTTGAAAAATATTTTGTACTTCATATGCCTCTTAGGCTACATTCCAACAGTTATTACCAGCATTGAAAATCTATAAATCACACATTATATATACTATAGATTTTCAGCACTACAACAGTGAATATTGGAATTCACTTTTAATAATGACATTAATGTTTAAAAACAATAAATTTAATCTAACTTATATAAAAATAAGTAATATAAAGAAAAACTTGCTCTATACATATACAAACTAGTTTAAATCGAGAATTCCAAGTTTTAATATTTATTATTACATTTAATAATTATTATTTAACAAATAATATGAATTTAAAATTTAATTAAACTTATTTTAGAATTACAAAAATGTAACGGAAAAAATATCGTTATTTTTCAAGTAATGATGACAGTAACGTGTCACTTTTGTAAATCGGTAACTATAGTAACAGTAACGCGTTACTTTTAAAATAACGTTCCCATCCTTGATTTTAATTATAATACACTGCTTAAAAAAATTAGTGGATCACTTTTTCTCACAAGTCTCACAAGTATATTTTTGCCCATTTTTAAATTTTAATTTCTTAGCGAATAATTAACGTAAAAAATAAATTAAAAGAGGATTTTACAGGGCAAACTCTCTATTATGAGACCCTTTTGTTCAATTTCTAGGTAGTCTTCTTTCTAGGGTCTTAGTTTAATACACAAAGGCGTGATCAGCTTTGAATGAAGTATTTGTATTTGTCACATCTAAAATCTTGAAATTTGCGAGCCTTCACGGCCTAACAAAAACATTGGCAAACATAATCATTGATGTCTAAACCCTTTTAAATAAAAAAAACTTTCTCCTACGATAATTATTTATCCAGATATTGCAATTTAAAATAATAATCTCTGTTTTATTACGATACCGCTGGCGTAATCCGATGTGCACCACGGGAAGGTTTCTCAATCGAATTTTGCACATTGTGTGTGTGTGTGTGTGTGCGAATGTGTGTGTGTGTGTACTTTTGCATGTATGTTTATGTAAATAAAAAAAAATTTTTTAATATAAAGTGTTGCTTCTTTTTTACTGTATCATTTTCCATAAACTTAATCTCATATTGATGCATCTTTTTATCTCAGTTTGAGAAATTATTTATTCCAAATTTGACGCAATGCCTCTTCTAAAACTGCCAAAGTTGTCGGCTGTCTTCGACGATTTCTCAAACGAGGTCAGAATACACACACACACAATGTGCAAAATTCGATTTAAGAAATCTTCCCGTGGTATACATCGGGTTACGCCAGCGGTATCGTAAAAAAACAGAGGAAAGAATTGCAATATCTGGATAAATAATCATCGTAGAAGAAAGTTTTTTTTTATTTGAAAGGGCAGAGTCCGTTTGAGATGATATCAATAATTATGTTCGCTAATTTTTTTATTAGGTGGTGGAAGACCGCAAATTTCAAGATTTTAGATGTGTCAAATACAAATACTTCATTCAAAGCTGATCATGTCTTTGAGTATTAAACTGACAAACCTAAAAATTGAACAAAAGCGTCTTGTAGTAGAGAGAGTTTGCCCTGTAAATCCCTTTTTGATTTATTTTCTACGTTAATTATTTGCTGAGTTTAAAAATGAGCAAAAATTTACCGACAAAAAGTAATCTCCTAATTTTTTTGAACAGTTATTTAGTTACTTATTACATTTGACGAGTGTTAAAAATTTAATGTTAAACTGATAACACCTCATTTCTATTCGCAATTTCCTTTGCTCTTTTAATATTAATATTCATATACGTTTATGCTGTGCGCATTAATAAGAATCTTTAAAACTGCCTTGCGATAATCAATTTCCTCGATTTCTATAATCTTTTTATATTTTTTTTAAATGTTCCAGATGTTTATCATATTTCTGCATCGGGAAAGAAAATTTATAGGATAGAAATGAAGACATTACTAGAATGTCCAAATAAGAGAAAGGCAAATAAAAAAAGTAAACTCGCTATTAAAATATCAAACCAAACAGGACAGATCGCATCAGCGGAAAATTCAATATTTTATAGTGATAATCAAGCAATGGCTATTCTAGGCACAAACGTTAAGAAATCTGGTAAAAACACGGTAAAACATCCTATTGCAATAATTTTTTACATATTAATCAATAATAAATTATTTATTTCGAATTTTATTAAAGATTGTTAAATACATGTATAATAGTTGTTAGTATGATTTTATTGTTGTAAAATAATATGTTAATTTTAAGGTGATGCTCGCACAAGACGAGAAATTGCAATGTATACCTTCAATGAAAATTTCAAATTATTGGAATCGGTTAATGGCCATATCAAATAAATTTCAGCTTTTTATTGCTACTGGTAAAGTAAATATAAATGAAATAAACTCCCATTATTTTGAAATGGATTTAAGAGAAATACAAAAGTTGATGAATTCGATTTATTCAAACACTACTTGATTTTCGTATTTGGAACATATTTTATATTAACAAACGCTTTTACATAATTTTATTATTAATATTATACACGTATGATTTAAATGTAAAATTTATAAGCATTATATATGTAAGATTTAAATTAAAACATTAGATATAATATACATATATAAATATAATCATATGTAAAAATTAAATGCATACATAATTCTATTGTTATATTGCAAAAATTTAATATGAAAATTTAAAAATTTGTGTATTATACGTACGCATTACAATAATTGATATTAATATTAATTTAATTGATATACATATAGTAATTAGTAAACTATTTGAATATTTTAATTAATATTGAAATATTTAAAATAAAAAATATTTTCTTGCAGATTTTGATGATCTTATTTTCTTAAGCTTTAAATCTAAAAAAGATTATAAAAATTATAGATCGGAAGAGCACA